CACATTGATGACCTGTTGTTAAGTTTGGCTTAATGTAAATTCTTTTTCAGCCTGTTTGTCACAGTCTCGTTTTTGGTCTTGAATTTTCCCCACAAGCTTCGTGTCCACCTTAGCTTGAAATATGTTTAAAACTCTGGCCACTAAATAGCACACAGATAAATACACACAGCTGAAAGACCTGGTAAAAAGAAGTAGATTTTTATATTGTCTGTCCTGACTACTGTATTTTTGTATCCAGTTTTGTGCTAAATGCATAACACCGTGCAGGGATCCTGTTCTTCTCTGTAAGAAATAAATAGTGTAGTAATGCTTTTTTCATGAACAGAAGCGTTCTCAGGAAGTATGAGATTTTCCAGAGCCACTTTTTATTTCCTCCTCATTTATCCACAGATGCCCTTTTCAACCCACAAGTATTTTTATGTGATTTACTGTTCACTATTCACACTGTGGCACAGTTAAATGCTGTTTATTGGGCGAGGCAGAAAACAGATCACTCATGAACAGGCAGTTTGTAATTAGGAGGAACATTTGGTCTAGAAGATTGGTCATTATCCTCATATTCCTACCATTTAACTGCAAAAATGAACCACAAACAGCTGTTTTATGGTTCCAGAAGCCAGATTTATACTAAGTTTTGTGTGGGGAGGCTCTGTTCCAACGCATGCAGCTTTGGTAGGATGACCAAACTGTGCTTAGTTGTGCATTCTAGCACATCTGCATGGCTGTCTAATTAAATTATCACTCCTGGGCTCAGTTGTTGTATCTGCTGAGGTCCACCTGTCCTGGCCAAACCCAGGATATTAGGTTACAGGAAAGAACTCTTGAGAGAATAGAGGGAAATAAATGAATAAGGAAGAAAAAGACCAGTCTGCAAAGGCAAAAGTAACTACAACTTTATTATTTTTCAGCGTTGTTTTTCTAGCAGAAAATAGCCACTGAAAGAAACAATTACATGAGATGTATTAATGGGCTTTGATCCCACCTATTTTACTTTGGTTGGTTTATACTCATCTACATTAGTGAGTCAGCACATCACCAGCAGCTCAGTAGATGGAAGTGGCTGCTGCTGTCCTCCCTTCCTTAGGCTGAGCATGGCTCAGGGATTACATCTAATCTGGTTAGTGGGAACAAATATCCCCATCACGCATGATTTGAGACATAATAATATACATTATTATATCTCATATTATATATTATATATTATAATATGCATATTATAATATACATATTATAGATACATATTATATATGTGTGTATATATACATATTATATATAATAATATACATTATTATATCTCAAAACTGTCTGGAGAGCTAGTGCTTGTCTCAGATCCTTTGAGGCTGGGGTCCTCTCGTGTGTGCCTGGAACACAGCTTTTTGTCTGGATCAGGTTCCTCTGAAAGAAATCTGGTTTGCAACACCTTAGATTGGCCCCAAACCGGTGTGTGATATGTGCAGACAATGAAGGGCTTAGCTTAAAAAGTGGTTCTCCTGCTCTAAGTGCAAATTCAAGCGCAGCAGCTGACAGATGTTGAGTTGCTGCATCCTACCTGTGGCTGCTTTTCCATCGTGTCCCAGTGAAGCCAGGCTGCAGATTAGTGTGGTTTATAATCACTCTTTTGGCTGCCTTGATTTGAACAGGCCACACTTCAACGACTGGCCACACAGAGATAGTTTAAGAAAGCAAACCTTGCTGTTCCTCACTGGTTCCTGGGTCAGACACAGCACTGCAGAGTCACTCTGTGAGTGGCTGTAGATTGTGCTCACACAAACAGAGGGTGCTCTGCAGCTGACATCAGTGTGCCAGCCTAAGTGGATGATCCATGTGAGAAATATCTCTAATTAGAATTTAGAAGATGGCCAAATATAATGAAACAAAGAACTTTATTAACAGCACGCTGGGTGCTCGGACCAAGTCAGTTCGTGCATAATAAAGTTCTTTGTTTCACTATATCTGACCATCTTCTAAATTCTAATTAGAGATATTTCTCACAATCCACACCTATTGCATCACATAGCACATGGTTAAAGTCCCATGAACTATCCTGTACAGTTTTACTTGTTTACTGACTCAGGAAAGTGCTGGGCTGGCTTATATGCTGATATAAGACACGACAATGTCTTGCTAATGCAGGGTCAGGGTGGTGCTGATTATGCAGACTAATGTTCAATTCCAGTTCATTTTCTATTAGGCAAATTAATAAACTTCAAGGAAAAAAAAATCTGGGTAAATTGGTTTCTCTACTTAAATGACTAGTCCAGCTTTCTTAATGTAGTTATGGTAATTTAAATTTTCATTTGAGTCTTCTTTTTTTTTTTTTAATTCCCCCTCTCCCTGCTTTTCCCCCTCCCCCCCAACATTTCCTCCATTAGAAAGGGAGAGGAACTAGGGACAAGGAGGTAAAAAAGTGCTGTGTTCAGTTGAAGGGGCCTACTCCCTCAACAGCTTATGCTCACTGGATATCTGGTTTTATCAATGGGGGCTGTGTATATGAATGAGACAGCTTTTTTAAACATAGCAATTAAACTGATTTCTATTTGCTTGGGTTTTTTTTACTGAGGACCAGGCTTTACATTTTCAGGCATGTCCGAAATGCCCAAGTTCAGGCTTGAGTTTCACCAACTCACTGAATAAAGCAAAAGAATGAAATGTTATCTGTCACCTTCCCGCCTGCTTTCAGCTTTGCAATTTGCAAGCAGCAGATCTGGCTACATCTGACTGTTAGACTTTACTATTTCTAGCACTTGATACCTTTCTTGGTTTGGTGTGAAAAATGGATGAACACCCACATTTGGGAACAGGAACAACTGATGTTCAACACCACGGGAGTGTCAGGTTGCTGCTGTCGTGTAAAATATGTGATAGAATAGGTAAGCATGACTTGGGAAGCTCACAAAGAGCTGTTTTTTGCCAAGTGTGGGGGCATTTTAGTCTTCCACACTTGTGACACACACACTCTGTGCTGTCAGAAACCCATTCACAGCTGAAATAGGCTGTGTGCTCGTGAATGCAAACAACACTCCTTGGCTTTGCATTGGTTTGGTGCCGACTGCTCGTAGTGGAAATGATTTCACATATCCCTGGATGTGCTCAGAGCTCCTTACAGCAAAAGTATCCCTCAGAGACCTACAGTTGTTTTTGGGTAATCACCGGGGAGCGCTGAAAATCGCTCTGTGAGAATTGCATCTGCTTGTGTGGTCTTCCTCCTGTACCTCATAAGCAGTCAGATACACTGTCATAAAAGTCTAATAATTAAAAATAATTTTAGAAATAAAATATTTTATATTTTAATAAAAATATTGAAATAATTAAAAACATCGAGATTAAGTGCAAAAGAACCATACATGCTTATTGAGGCAGCTTTTATTTGCTCTTCTCTTGTCACACTGACACAGAATAGGGGTAAGCTGCACTGATGGGAGATACATTACAACCCCATAAAACAGTGGGCAAATTAGCAAATCCAGTAGGTCTGGTTTTCAGAATTGGAGAATCTGACATCTCTCCATTTCAATGGCCCTGTCCTTGTCCTTTAGCTACTGCTACAGTAAGTTAAACTGCTAAATTTTTTTATGTAAGGGGCAGCTGGTTCAGGTCATGTTTGATCTACGTCACCAAAGGAAATATTTCACTCGGGTGTCACGGTTTAGGGGTAGTTTCTCAATTTAGTACCTCCACTAAAAAGAAAACCAGGAGCTGCTCCCCTCCTCCCATCGGTGAGAGAGACAAAAGGCAGAGATTTGGGGTTGAGATAAGAACAATTTGCTGGAAACAGCAGCGAGATAAGAAAACCAAACAGTAGACAGCAACAATATTAAAAAGAAAAGTATTCAAAAAGAGGGTGATCTGCATCACAAAAAAGCTCAGGACCAGCACCACTGGTGCGACACAACGAACATGATGAGTTCCCCACCCCAATTACTCCATAGCCACACTTGCTCCCGACTGGAAACCACAGCCCACCTTCTTCTCTGGAGCCAGAATTCCTTATTTCTGCCCCCCCCTCCGGCAAAATCTATCCCCCCCTCCCTCATTCCCGGTGATTTGAGGTGGCACAGAATAACCGAGATACTCCACGTGGCTCCAGGCTCTGCCCCTCGTGGCTGCTACGAAAAGTGAACTCTGCCCTGGCCAAACCCGGGATATCAGGTTACAGGAAAGAACTCTTCAGAGAATAGTGGGAAATAAATGAATAAAGAAGAAAAAAAAAGACCAGCCTGCAAAGGCAAAAGCAACTACAACTTTATTATTTTTCTCTAATAGAGAATAGCCACAGAAAGAAACAATTACGTTTTTTTCTTTTGGTTGGTTTTTATGAAAAGAAACTGATATTACAACCCCTACAGTTTTAAATAACAGAATAACATTGTATAAGTTTTTAATTCTTCATGGGATAACAACATTTTTGTGAAACCTTGTGTTTTCTGTGGGAGAAAGTCTTTTCTTTTCTTTTTTTTCTTTTCTTTTCTTTTCTTTTCTTTTCTTTTCTTTTCTTTTCTTTTCTTTTCTTTTCTTTTCTTTTCTTTTCTTTTCTTTTCTTTTCTTTTCTCCTCTCCTCTCCTCTCCTCTCCTCTCCTCTCCTCTCCTCTCCTCTCCCCAATTCTGTTAAAGAAGAAATTTCTCCTCCTGTCCAGCTTATCAACCTAATCCTTAACTCTCCTCACTGTAGCTCATCAAGACAGACAGAACATCTTATATCTGCATTAAGCCAGGCTCTGTGAGCTTGCACGTGGAAATGTGCAATTTTGCATGCAGCTGTCTGAATGTATTATCCCCATTAAAAAGGCTGCCCTCTTTCCTGGCAATATGTTGGAAATGCAGTTACATAAGAGAGTCCCGAGCTCCTGATGCATCACAGTAATAATGGAGAATGGAGAATTATGGAGAATTAGAGTTGTCTGCTTCTCATCTGTGCCTTTTCCTTCTTTTTTTCTTTTCTTTTTTTTTTATTTTTTTTTTTTTTGAGGTTTTGTACCGTGGCATTATTCTCACACTGAATTTCAGCAGGGCTTTAATTGTAGGTATAATAAGTAGTCTGGAAAAGGGCCGGATTCTGACCTTTTGCTCGCTGGGCAGGGCGACTGCTGGGTTACAGGTGTGTGCAGAAGGTCGGAGTTGGGCTCAATTCTTGTTTTAAGCCACAGTTTTGTCCGGTGAGGGGAGAGCCTCGATGGACAGCGGTGTCGTTTGTTCCCCCCGCGTTTTCGTGTGTGCCTGGACCTGCCGCGTTCTCCTCTCCAGCCGCAGGGCCCATTCCTGGCGGAGCCTGCAAAGAGAGCACAAAGTGCTCAGCAACTGCTCAGCCAAAGCCTTCAAATGGAGCCGGGGCTTTTCAGCAGGTTGGAGGCTTTCCTCTCTTTCATCACCAGAGCACTTGTCCTGTATTTATTTACCAATTACACATCTCTCCAGCTTGGCTAGATTGGGAATGCAGGGGAGAAAGGGATAGTGCTGATGCTATCAGTGGTTGGCATCGCTGGATTCCGAATGAGTCAAACAACTGCTGAAATACTGTCACCGTGAAGAACTGCTTTTTCTCTCTGGGGTATTCTCAAAGCCACCCAGAAGTATTGCCTATGCAGTAAGGTCATTCAATGTGTCAATTAAAAAAATACCATTTCTTCCCCCCCCCCCCCCCCCCCCCCCCCGGTTTACTGCAAAATGCTGTGGAGAAGAGCAAGCAGAACTTAAAATATGTCCTTTGGGTTAGAAAAAAAAAAACAAACCTCTTCAGAACCTGTATGTGTTTAATGAAAGGCATTGATGTCACATGCAAGAGGAGCTACATAGCTTCAAGACACTATTATAGCACAAACAGAAGACAAAATCTCTAAGGACCACTGGAAGATATTTTTGTCTGGCTTGTTTTCTGAAGGAAATGTTGTTTTGAAATACCTGACCCAGCAATGTTATAACATTAGATATCATATGGCAATGCCAAATGCATCATTGAATATACATGGGTTTTTATATTACCTCTGGTGTGATGAAAAGCACAGCAGCCAATGATTTAATCTGAGAATAATTCAGCAGTATCTGGTTCACATGGATGCTTCTGTTATCTTGGCTTCTAAGCTTGATTTTAGATTGTGTTTTAAACCACCTAGTCTTCACTATTCTTTTGTGCATATAGTTAAGCCCCAAAAAGAGGTGCAGTTAGTTAGGAAAAATTTGCCATTGAAAATTGCAATGTTTGTTGTCAGCCAGTGTCCCAGGTGTCACAAAGGGAGCACTTGCCTTTCCTTAAAACCATGTAGTTTTCCCAGGTGCCACTTCCATGAGGTAGTGGACCTCTTGGTTTTGTAATGAAATGAAAGGATCTTTTTCCCAAAATGGAGAACATTTTGTGAACAATCTGAGCTTTGACTGAGTTGGTGACCTTGAAGGAACTGGCTTGGGTCTGTTTGAGTTGTGACCACTCAGTTAAGACATATTGAATATGCATGTTAAGACACATTCAAAGTTCTTTTGCTGCATTTTTTTTCCTCTTCAGAGAAGATTTTCATAAAAGCTTTTAACATTTTTAGCTCTGTGAAGTTAGAGATATTACCTACACCACTAGTTGCAATTTGTTTGCACGGTCTTCTTGTGGTAGTTTTTTTGTGATCTAGAGTTGACAAAGCTTCCAGTGAAGCTGAACATCTCCCTGGGTGTTATCCCACGTGTTTTCTCTCCGACAACTTTGGGATTTTGTTTAGGGAATATTACTGACTAGATGGAGTAGGATACTGGAAGCAAGATTGTCTGCCTCTGACTTTGTTGGGGGACAAGGTCTGCCCAGATCTTGATTTCCAAGTTTTTAAGTGATGACAGTAGCTCCCTGCTTGGACACTGGGGTCAAAGTACCGGGAATTTTTTTAAAAATAAACAGCCCTTAAGGCAACACATTCCAATTTGTTAAGTGCAATTAGTTTATGTGAATGCCACAGTTTTGAGGAAAGTGTATGCAGTAATATTTTTGTTAACTTCAGGAGGAAAGCACAAGAGAAAACCACAAGAGACGTGGAATTTCTCATCCTCTGTCTCTGGTCATTATCAGTCAGGGAATTCACCTCCTGTGCAGGAGACCCTGGTTCAAACTCCTGAGTTTGAAACAAATATTTGAAACAGTCCATCCCACTTGTGCAGAATACCTGTACCACAGCCACAGCTCTTTTTAGGGAGACCCATTGTTTCATACTGTTTTGTAAAAAACCAAACCAAACCAAACCAACCTGAAAAAAAACCCCCACAAAACAAAAAAGGAAAAAAAACCCCAACACAACAAAAACCCCATCATTTCCCCCACTGAACTGGAAAATCTTGTTGTGTCATTTCTATCTTTGGGCTTGTGAAGGGCTGTTAAACAAGACAAAGATACCATTTTTTTAAATACTACAGATTAAAGTGGGCGGTTGTCCCTTTAATGTAACATTATTTTATTTATTTGTGGAGCCGTATCAATTCCAGGTAAAACTCCTGATATTTTCTGGCTGTCACAAGCCACGATTCCAAAGTGCTTTATTTTTTTTCGTGGCTGGGCTCCAAGGCCTTTGAAGAATGCCCATGAGGTTTGAGGGTGAGGGGTTGTCTGAGTTTCCATGCAGGAGAGCCACAGTAACACGAGACCAGCAGCTGCCAGCGTAGAAGTGCCAAAGCCCCAGAACACAATCTGTGCTATGAATAAAGCAGCACAATAACAGGTTACCTTATTTTAAAGCACATGATGGCAAGAAAAAAAAAAAATTACCACTTACTTGTTCAGGGCACTTTTGCTTAACCTGGACTCTTCAGCCTCTTGCTGCTTGGTTTGCTCCTGGATGACCTTTTCCCAGAAGTTCTTCAGCCCCTCTGCATCCTGACCACCCATCCTGAAGTTGGTGTGCTTGCTCATTTTCTGAAAAAGCAATTTGGAGGTCAGGGCAGTCAGAAGCCTGACCTGAGGCAGGTGCTGCCTTGCTCGGCCCCCTCGAAATTTCCTTCTTGCCAAGTGCTATTAAAATAAAGTATGTCACCTAAAAGAATAGGTGACTGATGGTTACGTTGCCTTGAGCCAAAATATAAGGCATTGAAACAGGCCTTGGGTGACAGTTAAATGGTACAACTGTATTTTTCTTACTGAGTAATGACTACACATGGCACAAATCACTGAAATATTGCGAGTCCCTCAGTATATGTGAGATTTTAAGTGATTTTGGGATAAATGCTTTCAAATACAGTGCCATTGTCACTGAAGTTCAGATTAGATGTGAAGGGCTTTCCTTTTCTTCTATCTCCTATAGTTTTAAAACAGATGGTTTTATCCAAGGGAAATGCATTGCTCTTAAATGATTCCTTTCACTGCTCCAAATGATGCCTTGCCCAAAACATGCAGAGGAATTATGAATCTAAAGTTGAAGCACACAAAGTGCAAAGCTCTGGGGAACTTGTTATGGCCTTGCCCTTTATTTTATCAAAATTCAGTCTTAAATACTATTAAAAGTAGACCTTCTTAAGATACAAGGATGAGTTCCAATAAACGAGAAAAAGGGCAGAAATTAAGTGAATTTGTCCTTGCTAAATGCCTGTTATTCAAACATGGGGGGTTTTAAAATTCTCATCATGTCTGGTGTCCTTGCTGATATTACCAGATTGCACTGGTTATCAGATTGTAATTGCACTTTGAAAAGTTAAGTTCTCTTGTTTTTTTTCAAAGGAGGAAACCTTTGCTTTGTGCAGTGCTTTGAGTGGAAGATCAGAGGAAAAGGAAAGGACAGTTGGTGTAACACAATTAAGGCAGACTCGTGTAAGGCCTTATTATCAAATACTCTGTTATAAACTCCTGAAACCTTAAAAGGGCACATGAGTAAGTTCTTGCCATCTTCCTAGATTGAATATTTTATATTTGTCATGGTTTTCACAAATCTGATTTTTAGAAATAACAACAATTTTCCCAAACTTGGTGCTAAGTCTGACTGGTGTGAAAAAAGTGCCTAACAAGAAGAAAAACCCCTTCCACACGCAGCATTTTTCCACTGAGAAGTCCAGTTCCTTAAAGACCAGCACAGTCCAGCTAGAGTAGTGAGTGTGAACTGGTTAGTCCATGTAATATAATCCCCTATGTGATGGAATATCTCGAGAGGTTCGGATTCTGGTCCTGTAATGTCACCGAAACAACCAGGTGTTGTTCTCTGAGAAAAATAACATTTTTTCTGGTGTTTTCCCTTGCTGTGGGCTGGGGATGCTGTCTCTGTAGCACAGTGGGATGCAGGACAAATTGTTACATTGGCGTGGGTGCAGCAGTCCCACTAAAAACCTTTTGCTGCACTTGCTGTGTTTATTGATGAATAGGGTCTAAATGGCAGCGTGGGGAATCTTAATGATCTTTCATCTCACTCTGAGGCCCCAAAATGATGGTGTTATTTAAGTCTTCATCTTGCAAAAAGATGTGCACGTCAGGGGTGCACTGGGACATGCCCCACCTGTGTCTGAGCTCTGCAGGCTCCGAGCAGTGCTAAAATAAGTGCTCTGGTAATAGCTTGTTACAGCAAGGGATGGAATCTGATTATTTCATCATTCTTAGATCAGCAGGTCACCTGGGTCTTTGCACCGTTTAAAAGCTCTTCTATCAGCAGCAGCTGCCCACTTGACACTCCACAGATAATTATCCCATTGCCTCAGAAGCCAAGTGCAAGTTGCTGACAAACTGTCTGAGTCAGTTTGCCCTCCAAACCCTATTATACTTTGCCTCATGTAAGAATCTGCCATAACACATTAACCTTTCGTTAGATATTAAATTTTTACGATTATTAAACTTCTAGTAGATATTCTTCAAGTGGTACAAAGAAGGTCCACGGTCTTCGTCTGAGATTTGTTAGATTTTTGAGAGGATGCGTGAAGGTCTTGGCTGCTCCACCCAAAGGGACAAGGTGTGGTCAGAGAGGTGCCCAAAATATGGAGGTACTTGAGGAAATGTTGGCCTGGTTTGTCTGTGGGAACTTTTTACAAGTCAAGAATCTTTGACTTGGTAATAGTTCCTAGGAATGTCAGTGAGAGTGAATATTTCACGTGCTATTGCCATGGTCCTTGCTGAGACAGATTCCTGCTGTAAAACTTTGGAATACAGCTCTGTCTGGCATGGCTGACCAGCATCTCTCATGCTATCATGGGTGAAAGCATCCTTTCTTTAAACCTGGCATTGCAACATCCATGTGTGGAGATCAGGGTTCACGTGCACTGTGTGATACCTTCTGGTTTTATTTCTAATTGAAAGATTCTACTTAGGAACTTGGCCTGGATTTCCCAGTAACTCTCTAGGTTTGGTGTTTGTAAAAATCCCTTATTATTGCTCTACAAAACATGTTTTGTTGATGTGTGATTTTCTTCTTTCTTTTCAGATGCCCCAGTAATATAAATTAGACTTACATTGACAGTTGGACTTAATTCTATCAAACCTGTTTTCTTGATTCCTTCAACCATATACCTCAAGGTTCAGAAACTGGCAGGACAGTTAGATTTTCTCTGTAAGTAAAAAACACACTTTCTTAAGTAAAAAAAACCCCACTTGGCCAGTTTTGTCTGGGTGGAAAGTGAGCAAGGAAAAGAGGTTCTTTATCATCCTTATTTTCATTTTGGATTTCCAGGTATCATTCCAGACACATTCAGGGAAAGTTGGGGAGGTGTCTTTCTGAATTCTAATGGAGAGTGGTTTTAACGTTCTTATCCACTGATATGAATGTAAAATTAAGCAACAGCAACACTTCCATACATTCAAAATTATTCATTCAGAAGGTATGGACTGAAAATTTATGTTATGATACATTCTGCAGTATGTTTCCTATGAAGGCCTACTAAGATGTGCATGTCAGTGGTGCAAGACAGAGTCCCTCATTAAATCTTCAGCTAAGATAGTTAAGGAAGGAACTATTTTTGTGTGGGTTTTGCAGTCCTGCCTGCCCATTTGAAGTGTAGTTGGTGGCTTTTTTAGGGAGTCAACAACATTTAAATAAAGGTAAAATTAGATCTTGGCTAAGGTGGCTTATGTATTTGGTAGTTCTGACGCTCAGCTGTCCAAAAATACGTATATGCATTTACAAAAGAATTTTTTACAGCATTCATCATTTTTGGGGCCTAATTTATATGCTAACAAGCTATTAATTTATGGAGAACGTCCACAAGAAGAAGTAATTAAAGAAAAAAATTGATGGCACCATGAAAGAAAAATCTCCTACGTTTAGAACCAAACCATAAATCGTGTGGTTTGTGCTGCAATCTGTAAAACAGTCAATCAGTCATAAATCAAATATAACATCTACAGACATTATATTAGTTTAAACTCTTTGAGCTCCTGTCCCAGAGCACGGGGGAATGAGGAGCAAAATATGAATGATGAGCAGATCTCTCCAGTGCAAGAGAGAGCAAATTTTAAAATTTTACTTCTAGCTGTACGTTATCATATTTTATTGATTTTTTTATTAATTGGCACAGCACTAATATAGAAACAGCCAGGGGTACAATCATCTCTCATTTAATCTGATCTGCAATCTGAATGTGCTTTGTTAAATTAGCAAGTTTCCAAAGATTCTGGTCTTAACCCCTACCTGAGGCTAATTCAATATTTTAAATTATTTTAATCTCAGACAACCTCCACTGAGGTACAAAAAGGACTTATGAAAAATATCCAGTGCAAGTAATTTTTCTTCTGCCCACTTTGTAATTCCTATTTTGGACTCTTGCTGGAGGAATTTTAAGAATCAGAAATGGCTCTTGATGTTTGGAACAGAATTGCTGTTTTTAGTTACCTTTATGTATGAAATAAGCAAGTAAAGGAAGAAAATCTTTTCCAAAGCCTCAGAAGGCATTTTTTTACCCTTTTTCAGTCTTTCTATTTAATATGTGTCTTAAGATAGCCATTGTCTCAAAAACTCACAATGAGATTCTCCGAAAAGCTTTTTCCTTTTAGTGAAATTCAGTACATTTACTTTTTAATCCATTCAGTAAACCTGTTAACTGAACAGATTTTGGAGAAAATGTCAAAATATTTTTTAATCTAAATCATGCATAACTTAAAAAATTAATTTTTTTTTGCCAATAAAAACAAAACAACCTTATGCTTTTTTGTCTTACTGTAAAATATTTTAACCAGCAGCGTGAAGTAATGTTTGAACATTTCCAAGGTTTATTTTCAAAATCTTTTGAAAGAGAAAGACTTTTTATTTTCAAACTGTTTTGAAAGACAAAGACTTTAACAAGAATGATTTTTTTTTAACATCTTAAAAAATATTTCTTTTCTAAAAGGTGGAGTGAAATAGGTCTACTTTTAACTCTTGCAATGGATTTGAGTATTCAGCCAATTTTAATGTGTAATGCAAGCATGAAAGAATTTCCTCAGTCACTTCAGAGGTTTTTGGAGATCATTGTAAACAATGCAAAGATTATCTTTGACTTCAACTAGACTCAGTCCCTTGGGTCATATCATGACCATGAGCTATCTTATCTTTGTCAGAACACTAATTAATGTCCTATTCCTTTTACCCTTCACCAGGGCTTGTTTGCCTAAGCACAGAATGTTTTCCAGCGTTATATAAATATTGCAGCACACTGCCTGAGTTCAAAGCATTAAAAAAAAAAAAAAGAAGCCTAATGTTCTAAAAAGTTTTAAGCTGCACTCATAGAATGCATTGTTTGGATGAGTCTCCCCTTACATATTCCTTTTATGGTGGTTTTCCTTTCCCCTGAATTATGTGTAATACATAAGTTCTAGTAATACCACAAAAGATAGTAACAAATAACAGATTAATAATTGAAGTTATGGCTAGAGCAAAAGAGGCAGGATGCCTCTTACATTTTATAAATCACACAGGATCAGATTATTTTTCCACAAAATTATATTGTAATATACAGAATTCAAGGTCATGGAGGAAACAAGAAGAAAACCTTGTTCAAACTCATGACTAAACATAGTGTAAAATAAATGTATATCCATGTACTTCTAGGCATGTTTGACAGTTAAGACAGGAAGAGAAAATCTTATTTTGGCCAAAATACAAGAATATAAATGCTTACTTTGATTGTATAGTAGCTTCCTCTTCTGTCAAAGTATGGTTTTCTTGAGTGATTACTGAATCATGGCAGTTTTACCTCTGGGTTCCCCTTTTCAAGAGAACTCCAGCTGCCAGGAATAACTGATGAAATCTGCTCACCCGTCACTCATTTTTATTTGTGAGTGATGACATCTGCTATTATGGGTTAGTTTAATGGCAGGAGGGGAAAAAAAAAAAACCCAAACCCACAGTCCCGTTTCGCGAAGTCTGCGACGCACCGAGAGAAATGACCAGACAGTTACAGGGCACAAACTCTGGATGCCACATTTGATCTGTGCTATAAATTTTGGCAGGTGCCACTGATGTCATAACTTGGCTCTGGAGGAGCAACTTACTCTTTGACAAGCCCAGAAAACGTCCATAGGACTTGCAGGAATTCAGCGCCGCCCGCTCCAAGAGAAAGGATGGATCTGAAAAGAACACACAGCTCGTCTCAGGATTGTGCCACTGAGTGACTGGCAGATAAACAGATTTCTTTTTCACCCCTTTTGAAGTGCTGGTCTGTAAGAGCACCTGGTGGGCCACAGGACAGGATTCCAGCTAAGCTGTTAATACACTGAATAGTGCAGGAATCTGAACGAGCTGAAACACAGCATATATGTAATTTGTTACAGAATTTAGCACTCCTGTTTCTTGGACAGATTCTTCCTCCCTGCACTGGTAGCCCTGGGTGAACAGGAAAACACAGGCAAAGCACAGGCTCTCCCTCTGCTTACTCAGAGGGAGAGCAGACAGTGACAGACCTCCTGCTCTCAGCTGTTGTTGGCAGCCTGACTGCATAACCCTTCCAACAGTCTGGCAAGTTCTATCTCGAAATTAATTATGTTTCTTGCTCCAGGTATTTCCAGTGAAAGGTTGCTCCAGAATTTTCTGTGCCAAGTGCTGTAAATTTGCTTTTAATTTACGACCTGAATGTGTTCAAGAGACAAGTTACCCTTCCCTTGGCTCCAGGATAGAAATCACCTCCTCTCCCCTTCTTTGTTTTGTTGTTAGATCACTGGAGGACTTTGGACTCTTCTCATGCTCATTCTCTTGATAACTCTCATGGCCCTCTCTGTGGTCTCACTGAACACGGGCGATGGGACCTGTCCATCACATTCCAGCTGAGTATTAGTCCCTTATATACATCCTTGTTTTGTTTGGATATAATAATCTGAATCTAGAGAAATATTTATCTCTTCTAGAGAAGTACAATGCTCATAACAACTTTCTAATTGGCACATGCACCCACCTAGTTCTCCTCTTATTTTTTCCAACTTATAAGTTCCAATTTATGACAGAATTTTTAACTAAATCCTAAGTTGACAACCTTTTGGTTGTGAAGTGGCCTTTTGCGCCACTTTCTCTATATCAGTCCTTCAGATCATTTGCTTCCTGTGTCTTTGAAATTAAGTCCCCTGTGCTTATGACAACTTTTGTGTCCTCCAGAAAATTTCTCTAAGTCACCACTTCATTTTGTGCCGAATGCTACTGCCCAAAACAGCAGTAAGACTGTTTCTTAGAGATGAATTCTCTTTTTTAAACTTCTTGCAGTTAGGGAGCTTTCACTAAAATATATTAGCTGAATTTAGTCACTTCTGAGTTTAAATGGATAACCCTTGGTGAGACCACCAGAGATAAAGGCTGGATCCTCTGCAGGGAAGAGGAGAAGACAGTGAAGAAGAGGTAGTGAAGTCCACCTTATCTCTCACCATATAGAGTAACAGGTTATTTCTTGTCTGCTGGATGTGGTTAGTACGTGCCAAAAAGGAAGAGAGAGGGAATTGCAATGTGTCATTAAGTGTCCCTACAGAGTCCATGGTCAGTTTAGATGAACAGCAAAATCAGTTTTTCCACTAATCATTCAGTAAGACACTCAGCACCTCTACTGTCGGTGGAAGGTGGCCATGAAATGTAACATGAGGTTGGCAATTCACTGTTCCAGGACCAAGAAGCTGATCCTGCACTCCAGATAAATGCCCAAGTTGCTGCTGGTGGTCTCAGACTCTCACAGCTTCTCTCCTTGGAGCTGCTCCACATCGTATAAATAATGCAAAACCCTGGGCTGGAGAGGAAGTGCCGACAGCGTGCTTGTTTGATCTTCTGCACATCCCAGAGATGTATTTTCCACTTTCCCAGATTATTGAATGTGTTGCCTCACGTTTTGGTTACTGGGTATTCAAAGGCATGTTTTTCCATGGCAAGTGAGTTACTCGGAATTTCCTTTGTAAAATCTGAATTTCGCCGCGGCCCAGACGTAAAACACACCTTGAAAGGCTGCCCGTGTTCTTGTGTTGGAACTGCCCAAATTCAGCGTTTCTGAGGACTCACAGTTCCACTGCATAATGTCAGCAAGAAAGCATAAGGAGCACTGGACAGAGGACAAGGCTACAGGGCACATAGAGAAATAATCAGAGCTCTTTGGTCTCTGCAAATAAAGTGACTGAGACTTGGGAAGCGAGACTGATCACTGTAGTATCAGTCTGATACTACACAGAGATAACAATATACACTACCACTGGTAGTACAGAGTCAATTGCAGCAATTTATGTGACTTTAGAAGCAGCACAGATTTCCTCTGTAGACTTGCCAGACAGATCAATATTTTGAGTAAATTATTTCGACTTTATAAAGCACGTAGATTCCACTACACATTCGGAGTTTTACAGCCCAGCTTGACAGTTTCATCTAAGATTGGACAAGTCTACAGTGTAGCTCTCTCAGTAAGGCTCTGACAGTTGCTTTTGCTCCTTTGTTATGATTTGGATCTGCTAATAGCTCTCAGGTAGTGTTGCCTTGCACTGCCATAAGCTTTGGTATAACTGACTGTGTTTTGGATGTTGTATTGCAGTAATTCACTTTTGTTACCCTTTCATCATCACCTTGTATTTTTTTGCTAGTTGGTGCAGATATTGCCACTTACACAGTTTTTTTTGCTTTATGTGATGCAGGATGTGGCTGTGAACCTCAGTGCCTATAAGAGTGTATTTTGGAGTGTTTCCTCAGTATTCTGAATACTGAACAAATGTCAGTTCTAGAGTTGTGTTCTGTCATTAGTGCATTTTAATAGCCTTCAAAATTATTCCACCATGTAATGCTAGAACAAATTTCATAAATGTTCACCTATAAAGAAACCGTGATTTTTTTTTTAATAGATTATCAGGTACTTTCAAGATGATACGTTTTCATAGCATTTCTTCCATTATTTCAGCTGGGACCCACACCTCTGCCCAAGTACCCCATTTCAGCTGGTGAGAAATTATGTCTTCATGAGCACAGGACAGATGATTTGGAAAAGTAAGGGGTTTTTTTGAGAAATAAAACTAATTTTGCTGCTCCCATGGTTGTGTGGGTGTCTGAGGTGCACTGACATGAGTGGTTCAGAACAGTTTTGCTTTAACTGAATGACTGAAGGAATTCCTTATTACTGTCACGTACATCAAGGTGGAGGACAGCTGGACACAAAGCACTGCCCTAGCAGAGTGTATATTCAGATGTTGCACGTGTTGAGGTACCTTTATCTGAACCAGGTGTCTAAAAATAGATTCCTTAAAGCCAAGCAAATTTCCTTGTACTGTCTGAGCTCACGACAAGAACACATGGATTGTGTTGCCATGTGAAAAGGTTGTGAGAGACGGGAGAACTTGAAGTCAGCATCTGGAGATCAGCTCCATGGCTGATTTGATGCAGATGAGCAACACGTGATGCCACAGAGCATGGAGGTGCCAGTTACCCTTCCTATTGTAACCTGACAGCAGCGACTCTTGGCAAGGTGAGAAAGGAATTGTATAAGAACTGCAAGTTGATGTTTTACTCATTTTAATATGTTCAAATCTACTAATTACCCTGTGACTTGCTAAGGAAGTAGTGCAGCATTTTCTTTGTATTTTCAGTTAATTAGTTCATCAACCAAAAAAACCCATTTCTCTTGGTTCTCCATGCAACTTTTTCATGTTCTGATAACAATTTAAGAAATCAGTATATGGATACAAATACTTAAATTTTAATTACTTTCTAATAAATGAGTGAACTATTCCCAACTCCATGTTACTTATTATACCGAGCCATTCCTTTGAACTCAGCCTTTAATAATCATATCCTACCTACATCATCAGGGCACCAAGGTGTTCAGGACACAAACCAATTTTTACATCAGAGAATTCAGCAAAATCAGTCCTTAATCCTAACAGGCTGCTTGGTCCTTGATAGTGTAACATAATCCAAATAAGCAATACTTCTGTTTAAAACCTTTGTTTCATTTTAATAGTACTTAAATATTAACCTGCTTCTGAATCTTTGACTGCTGTCCAGGAATATCTAAGGTTTGAATGCAAAGACAAATCACCCATTATTTCTGGTAACTTTTTCTGCTTTGGACCTAGGGCCAAAACCCCTTTGTCTCAGACATTTTAAGTTAGACTGGGCAAAGTTCCTGCAAGTGCTCTGAGGAATCGGAGTAAAATGGCACAGAAATGTTTTAAATTACCTCATTAATCTTTCCCATTTATGATTTTTAGGGTTCAATATCCCTATATTTGCTTGCTTTTACATGTTTGGGTTTGGGTTTTTTTTGGGGGGGGGGTTGGTTTATTATTTTTTAATTATTATTTGTTGGGGTTTTTTTATTTTCTTTCTTTATTTTTTTTTTTAATTTAATGACAGATAGGCTAAAGTGAGGGAGGAAAAAAAATTCATTCCACGAGGCACAAAACTCAATAACGGAAGGATCAGCAGCTCAGGATCAGCTTTTTACTGTGTTCAGTGTTTCACAATTATGCAGGTGTAAGATGCATTTTTTTAAAAAATATTTTTGCTCTTGAGTCTTGGTACGAGATTTGATGAGGGAAATCTCTGACCTCACACAATGAGTCTGGCAACGGTGAGACCAAATATTTAAAAACAGACACAGGCGATGTTGAAATTTCTGGTGGAAATAAAGCTCATTTTCTGGCCATTTATAAGGGACAGGAACCCCTTCTTCCTCTATGGCAGAACCAGAGGGAGGCATGTCACAGTGGGGATTCTTACTTTCTAAATA